AAACGGAGTTTCCAGTAGTCAATGTCTAATCAACGCAGTTCTTCTTCATATTAAAAGTATTCTAGAACAACATCACAAAAATTAGATGAATTTGATCTTCCAACACTTGATCTATCTGAAGAACAAAACACAGAAGAATTATCAAGGTTAATATTAGAAGAACTAAACTACGTAATAGATAATAGTGATTTGAAAAAAATTGCATTATTAAATGAAAGTCAGAAAATAATATTTGATAAAGTGATAGAACGTGTTGAAAAAAATCAAGCAGGAGTTTTTTTTGTTGACAGTCCAGCTGGATCTGGAAAAACTTTTCTGTATCTATATTTACTTAGTAAAATTCAGTCACTATCTTATATTGCTCTTGCTACAGCTTCATCTGGTATTGCCACATTAATTATGCCTGGAGGGCGAACTGCCCATTCACAGTTCAATATACCTTTAAATCCTAATGCAAATTCAACATGTACTATAAGCAAACAAAGCCAATTAGCTTCATTGTTATGTATGGCTAAGCTAATTATATAGGATGAAATCCCAATAGTACATCATTATGCAGTAGAAGCTTTGGATCGAACTCTTAAAGATTTAATGGAATATCAACTTCCATTTGGTAGAAAATTAATAGTATTTGGTGGAGACTTCCACCAAATATTACCCGTTGTTCTGAGAGGTAGTCGTGAGCAAATAGTAAATGCTTCTTTGAAATTTTCTCCTTTATGACATAGAATGGAAATTCATCAACTGCATGTAAATATAAGAACCCAAAATAATCATAATTATAATTTTAGCAATTATTTATTAAGTATCAGAAATGGAACAGAACCAACTTATAATAATAAAATGATTCGTATTCCTAATTATATGGTTATACCTTGGAAAAATGAAAAGTCTTTACAAGCTCTTATCGAATATATTTATCCGAATTTAACTGAACATCACCTAGATATTTCTTATTTTACTGAGTGTGCTATTCTTGCAGCCAAGAATGAATATATTGATCATATTAATGATATGATCTTAGACCAAACACCTGGTGATATTATAACATACAAAAGTTATGATTCTGTTCCTGACGATACACGTGGACTTTACCAACAAGAATTTCTTA